GCATAAATATTAGAGATAAAGTGAATTGGAGTCTTATATCTAGAACCAAAATAAAAGTTCAAATGAGGTTTTATATTAGGAACCAGAGATAATATTATATTTGTCAAAACCTAAATTTATTTTTCATGTTGTTGCGTAAATCTATGCTTTAATATCCATAAAACCAAATTTTTTTGACCCTCCTATTCTCATTATATTTGGAAACCAATTAATATACGTTTTGTTATGAGGAAAAAGTTTGGATGCTTAATGCATATTTCCTTTATGTCACATACAAGACGATGAACCGCCAAGTTCATTGATTATGTTAGGTGACACATAAAACTCCGAATTAAATGAATCTGCTTATCCTGCTATACAACTAACTACTTCCATAGTCCGAAAAGTTTTTTAAAAAAAAAAAAACCCAATCTAAATGATGTCTCCGTTTAATTACTTTATGTGACAATGAAATTTGCACCAAAAAAATTGCCAGCAGAGTTACCTTAATTAGTGGATTCTGACATTGATTACAATTTGGGTATGTTTCAATGTGAAATAGTCAAGCTTTTAATATAATTACTCTGAAATAGCTTCACCCAGCGGTCACGACAGTAACATGTACGTATTCTGGAATCTAGATGCTTTTGCTCAGCAAGTGAAGGACCAAGGAGACCTATCAGAACCAGAAGTTTCCTGAAATAAAACTCTCAACAACCCCGTTGTTACGTCAACAACGCCTTGGCTGGACTGAAAGCGAGGTAGCACCATCTTCAGTGACTGAGCAAAGATAACCCACGCAGTAATCCATTTTACTTCACTACAACGTCACACCTTATACTAGACAAGTGTTCAATATCCAACATTTGAATGATGCAAGTCATCTTGGAATACTAAAGTCAAATGTAGTTTAAGTCCTTTGTACTTGATTGTTTCAGTAAATTGTAACGTAAATGGCTCAATGAGGACCCAATGCCACCCTGCGAAATGACTGGTTATGATTGGTCTTGTGGGTCTCAACAACCGTAGCCCTAAAGGCATGATCACTTCAGAAATGGTTAAGGTTTCATTTCATGTACCTCTTACCATATTGAAAAGGATATCCTTTTCACTTGTTACACAAAAAAGGCCTATAAAATCCACACTTGGCTCTCTGTACTGAACAATTCAGTCCCCACCCATTTGTATCTTTTCAGTCTCTTCGGACTTTAGCATAACAGTGATATTCTGTGGAAATGGCGCAAAATGGAAGCTCTTCTTCAGCTCATATGTTGATGGCCATAATGGTTGTGGGGTTGTTTTGCTCCACTAAAATTGTGGCTCAGGATTCAGGGATTGCGCCTACACCACCATTGGTGGCTGGAGATGGGTTTGCTTTGCCTGTTTCTGGGGTGGCCCTGTGTTCTTCTCTGTTGATATCTATTGTGGCCTTCATGTTGCAGTAAACCGGAGTGTTTACATCGTGATTGAAACTTGTTACTTGCTGTGTCTTTGAAGATTTCTTCTTATGTCTATTCACTTCATGGCTCATGCTTACTTTTGGGATGTGATTCCTCCTATATGGTGTTGTAAAGATTAGTTTTATGATATATGAATATATGTATCTGCTTTTCTGTCTTGTCTATTAATTTGATATGTTCTTTCTCTGTTCCCTTTTTTTCCCCAGAACATTTTCTTGATAAACTGAAATGATACAGCTGTTTGGTAACTTTTGGTTTCCTTTATTGCACGATATAATATACAGTGAGTTCTTATCTTTTGTCCACAGTTGCTAATTAGTAATCACAATGTACACTGTACAAATTAATGTACTGGCTGACATAATAGCACACAATTAACCTCCTTTTCGACTATAATTGAATGAAATGTGTATGGGAAAAGTCCAAGTTGTCAAGAAGCAGTGCCTTTGGACTCTTCGACGTCCAATTCATGCTCTGCTATCATAACACAGGAATCTGCCTCCAAAGATGAGACCGAACTCTTATTTTTATTTGAGATCTCTTTGGCTGGATTTAGCATTTCTGTTGTACATTGCACATCTGGTGCTATCCCAACCTGATCTATGTCATGAAGCGCTGGTGATAAATATTTTGCTACTGTAACAAAAAGTGCTGAACCATCATGAAGCTCTGTTACGCTCTGCATTCAGAATGAACTCCCCGCTATTAGATGAAACGTGACAAAAATGGCAGGAAGGAATAAAATTTTAAAATTTCTCCCATTTTGATTTTAAATCTAATCTGACGGAGATAAATCAATACCCGGCTTTGAACCAAGCCTCATGCATGATTGATATTGGTCATAGAGTGGCTTTTATGGTCCACTTGCAAAATATCATTCAGGATCACAACATAGATAGTGGAGACAACGATTTATTACTTAACCCATCAGGGGATGCAATGTTACGATACAGTACATAATGAAGCCCCTTGTTATATTTATTTTCTAATGAAAAACTTTTGGTAACTCATGGGTCATGGACTTCCAAACGTTTTGAGTACGTCAATAGTTAACAGTAAATCAGAGATAATACCTGAATCTTTCCTTTACCAAATGTTTTGTGGCCCACAAGAATAGCTCGGCCATTATCATGTAATGCCCCGGCTAAAATCTCACTGGCACTAGCGCTTCCCTCATTTACCTGTGAGAAGGGGAAAGAAAAGAATTGCAGTTCATTGCCTTCAGTGTGTTAGTCAAAAGGTACTTGTAGTCAGCCAACGAGGATGAGTTTGATATTAAGAAACAGGGAAATGTTTTTCTTAAACAGAAATTCAATTGAAAGCATGCATTTCTATGATGCAAGAAAAATAAGTATCATTTTATATTCAGAGGAAAATGTCAAAATTTGAAACTGTCCTGTTTTGTTGCTCTCTTGTAGGATTAAAAAGCATGACATGTTAATACGCAACTTAAGTTAGTGATACTCACAAGGACTACGAGAGGATCGTGAGTAATAGCATGGCCATTGACCATATTAATTGGTAACATATTTCCGCTTCTATCAACAGTGTTCACCAGAGTCTCATCTCCATCTAACCACATCTGAGCAACATCAAGGCCTGCTTTTACCAGACCACCCTGCAATTTAAAAAATAAGGAAACTGTGTAAGTTATATAATCCGGCGGCCATGTAACCTTCCTGGACATCTTCCATTAGAAAAAGATTACTGGATTATTGCGTAGATCCAGTATGTATGAGTGCACTCCTTGCTTTTCCAACTCCTCAATAGTATTCTTCATGTCTTCAGCGGCAGTCTGTCAGACATGGAAGAGGAAGAGTTTACATAGAGCTCATACGGAAAGCAAAACAATAAGTAAATAAATAAAACAAACATTTCAATGAGAGTAGTTGTTGGGACTATATCAACTTTTTAAATAAATGAAAAGCCGTTTAATTATTTGTTAACTGGGCATGTGCTAACCTGAGAGAAGGCTGATAATTTTACATAGCCGGTTTTTGTAAGCTTTCCATCTAGGGATCTGTGAGGAATGATGGCGCTGGATATTGGAGAGAGCTTGATGTACTCACGTGGTATTTTGACCTTCAACAGTCATTTACCGATTAGATCAGCCAAGCAGATATACACGTAAAGTTAGATAACTGCTTCTGCATATCATAAAAACATTTGCTTAATAAAAGATATTCATTTCATTGGATCAGCCACACAGATATACGAGTTGAAGTCAAAGGAAAGAGCTTATCAGATAAACTCTTCTGCATATCATAATTTTAACCTGATAAGAGAAATTAGTTTCATTCTTCAATTATAAACAATAAAATGTCAATAATCAGTATTTACCTCTCGAATACCATACTTGTGTCCTGAGTCTTTGACCTGAAGAAGAAAAGGTATAAATTAGTTTCTCCCAATCTTCAGGCTCAAATGCTTTCAAAATCTTGTAACTCGTGAATGAATCACCCCAATAATACTTTAAGAAAACGCCCTCTATTCACTCCACCATTAAGATTGTCTGTCCCCAGAGGACGGAGGACCTCCAGAGAAAGAAATGGGTAGAGAATCGTAACTGAAGCTCAGTGTTGAAACTATCCCAGCAAATAAAGCACAGTTTTCAAAGGTGCCCCGAAAATCTAGGCAAGGCCTATATCAATAGAATATAGATGGGATAGTGCTTATGTGGCAAAAAGTGGACTATTAACCTTTACTGTAACAGTTGTTCCTGCATTCCCTCTCAACCTCCGTGCTGCAGCTTCACTATCAATGCCATCGAGCCTCTCCCCTGAAAAAAAAAAAAAACAGGAATTGTTTCAGTAAAAAGAAAAGAAGAAGAAAGCGATTTGTTTCTCTTCAGACGCAAATTCTCAATTTCCAACAATCATTTTCACCATTTATCTCCACCAATTCATCTCCTTGATGTATACCGGCACGAGCAGCTGGACTACCTTCTACGCAGGACACAACAACCTGTGATTTCAACTGAATAGATTAACAAGCGCAAAAACACTATATGTGGTTCGTGAGGCAAGATAAGCACTACTCCATGACATATACATAATTCGTTAAGCCAAGACTTAGTATAAAAATATGAAAGCAAACATCCTTAAAGTGGCAGGGTCAATAGCATACAAAATGTCCTCAGAACAAAAAGTATAATTATTGGTGATTACTGTGAATTATAAAATGTTCTTCAGAATAGTCACTAACCAAATGTCCTGTTTTTGGTTCAGCGTTTATGAAGAGGCCCACTCCTTGTAAGTTCCCATCACTTCCAATTCTAAACCCTTGGTATTCCTGCGAATGAATCGCTGCCAAAATTAGCCACAGAAGTGCACCTTTAAATGTGTATCTGAAAAATGAAGTTGTCCAAGCACTCTAGTATTTATGGCAGCAAGTACGAGGAAACATGAATTGCCATAGCATCTTATGATCATATCTTGAGTTTACTTGTTTTCCTCCCGTAAAAAATCAAACAAAGAGATTGAGATTCCAGAAAGAAAAATTTAGCTTTAAAACCTTTGGACTGATTATTCGAGTGAAAGGATCTCCAAGGGTAGAAAGCATTCCACTGATTTTCATGTATGCAGCATCAGCCGAGCGCAGGGGAAACATTTCCACCATTGTTTGCTGCAACTTCAGGTCCCAATCTACAAATATAATTTATAAAATATTATAAATTTTATTTAATGATTCGCACGGATATGCAGAAGTAAATAACAGAGTCAAAAATACCTTGATGATTATATGTAGGATCAATAAATGTTTCTCGAATTAAACCCCATGCTTCCACGAGAGTTCTTTGAACTGCATTCACCTAGCAACCAAACCCTTCCCACTTAGCACAATTCATGTTATATATAATTATTGGCTCGAGGAAACAAAACTCTAATACTACCATAATACTGAATCAACCGCAGCTTCGAATCATGGCGGGTGTAATCAGGGAAATTATCAGAAGAGCTTTTAGTGAGAACTTCAGTTTCAGTACAAAGATTGAACTCGACATATTTTAAGTGTAATTTAAACTAGAAAAAAACCTACTGCCGGTTGGTTGAAAAGGTAAGGATATTGACTAAATACTGCCAACACTAGAAGTCAGCCTTCAAGACGTCTTCCATATGAAAGCTAAATACTGAAAAGGGCACCATCACGTGATAAAGAAATGAACAAGCTAATGGCGCGAAACGAATTAATTATTGACTTGATAAACAAAAAGTGTGGAAAGGGAGAAGAGATTTGATGACCTCAGGTGCTCGAGATACAGGAAAAGCCACGGTGAGAGATTCAGCAAAGGCGGGTGAATCGGAGAAGATAGACAACAGTAGAGCGGCGGAAGCGCCAAATCCCAAAGCCCTTTTCGCCACAGATTCCATAAACCCCTGGCCACTGCGCTGGACCTTCCCATGTGCTTCTACTGATGATGGAACCTCACTTTTATGTTTCAGGTTTATATGGCGGTAAGGAGACAAAAACCTACGCGAATGAAACAGCAATGAAGTGGGTTTTCCCAGTTTAGCAGGTATCACAGAACGATATGTTGCCTTAAGATCGAAACCGGGAGCAAGAGGCTCCATCTCAGGGGAGTGGACACAGACAGCACAAGAGAGGAAAGAAAGATTGGATTTTTGATGAATTTAATTTGTGTTAGTTTTACGAAGCGGTGACCGTTATGCGTGGGAGAATTTTGGGACTAGGAAGGACGAGGACCCCACCTGAATCTCCTCAAGTTGTGGCTCTCGCATCCTCCACGCCTTGCCTGCGTGCACGGATTTATCTACGTGCCGTAACAATCAAGATCAACTATTCCTCCACTTGGCGCTTCTCAGACTTGTTATTTTCCGTCGGTTTTTAGTTAATATTTGTATGAAATAATAAGATGTTATAAAAATAGATAAATTAATTCGAACAGTTTGATTTTGATTCGATCCCTTTAATTCTAGTGCAGACTATGGGATGAGATGTGGTGAGATTAGAAGTCCAAAATTCAAACATCAGAAATATGAAAAAAAAAATGTAATAAGAAGAAGAAAATCACAGTTAACAAACTAAAATACAATTATCTCTTGATTGTCAACTGTTAAAATTTTTTTTAAAGAAATAACCATGTAGAACAACTGTGTTGCTATTTTAAGCAGCAAACGACCCATTACCCCTCGGTCACTTTCGTAATTTTAATTTCCACGCATGTCGTCCAATTTACCGGGTGGATTGGGACATTTGGATTCGCCCAGATCCATTGTGATGGGTGTTGCTATATCAGGTTTTGTTATCCGTAATCATTTGGGCCACATTTTCATGCCTCGTGTTCCAAGTGCACCGGTTGGGCCACTAACCTGGGTCTGCGTCCAATATACAAGGAAGCCTATAGGCCCACAGGCAAAAAGAGATTTCATTGTTTCAGCCCAAACGCTACATCTGGCAAGCCCATCTACATATTACATGCTGAAGCACCCCTCACGGGATCGCAAGAGTTTTGTATTGCTATTTACCTGATGGATTGGGATTTTCAAAGATCCATTGTGATGGGTGTTTTAATGGTCATGGGTGGGCTATAACTGGTTTTGTTATCCGCAATCATTTGGGCCAGGCCTCGAGTTACATTTGCATGAGCTGGGACACTAGCTTGGGTCTGAGGCCCAATAAGCCTACCTCTACCAAGCCCAATACATATCTCACCTCACAAAGTCACACCTGGTGTTTAGGGATAGGGCACAGGACACGTGGGAGGCACATGGCAAAGAGAAAGAGTGAGGTGAGGCACAAGTGCTCAGTGTCAAGGCATTTGGAGAAATCCAGCAACCCTGCATTTATGATATTGTCGTTAAAGGCCGCGCATAACTTCCCTGGACACGCTTCCCCCACTCAAAACTTGCCCTTCTCAGAGAAAGCCATATGGTGATTGACAGATATTACTGTTGCTATACTACTCCAACTCCTTGTTTGCCCCCCTCCATCATTTTCTCACACAAATCCCAAACTTTGTGGGAAGTCATTCACCCGCCGGATTAAAGCTGCCTCTTCAATCACCTTTCCTTTCCCCACCCAAAAAAAGCATTGGATACGGATCAGAATCACAAAAAAAGGAAGCCAAGCTGTGGCTTGATGATTTGCCAATTATATTTCTTAATTGCTCACCATAAATATAAGTGCACACGTCAATCTCTTGTTGCCTAATGTTCAACCACACGACATGTACATAGAAGGAGACGAGGGACGTACGTATGTTATTGGTGTTAGCTGCTTCAATCATTTAAGACCTCACCGTTTGCCATATACAAGACACACTAATGAATTTCAAGCCGTGCGAACGAAAGGAAAACAAACAAACAAATAAATAAACGCACAGTAAGCCCATATATATAATTCCGCTTTATGGGAAATTAAAGAGCGGATATAGTCCCCAGGCTAGCTCGCGTTTGAATGAAATCGGTTCACAGAGAGTCAGGAGTCAGCATTATATATATTGAGACGGGCTACCATATCTGAAAACCACCCGACACAACAGTGACTTCAGAGAGGAATACATGAAGGAAATTGGGGAAGAGGAAGAGTAGGACGTAGGTATGGGTTTTGGTGCTGAAAACGGCAACAAAGAAAACGATGACCCCTTTTTTGCCCACTAAACTCTACTCACTCGTAGACTTTGTGCACCAGAATTTCTTACACACATAGTACAATATGGCTTTACCTTCAAGTCTGTGACTTTCCTCAACAACGACATAAAACATCCCATACGGCACAAACCCTACTTTTAGCCCAGACCTCCCTCCCTCCCTCCCTCTTTCCTTTGTGGGCCTCACGCCTTCTCTTTACTTTCTCGTGTCATTTCAAGGATTCACCTCTTAAACCATACCCAACACCTAGCTTTGTAAAATTATCGCACATACCCACAAATTAGACACGTATCAATCACCATTTATGCTCGAAGGAATTCAACATTATTATAGCTTAATTATCCATCTCTGCCTTCTTTTCTTTCTGGGCTCTACATGGAGGGGAAAACGATGGGGCATCCTGCAGATTCTACGTGATTTACAATGATTATATGCATCACTTTAACTAGGGGGTTCCAACTGCAAAAGCTATATGTGCAGCATATATAATTATTTGAAGGTGAGAAAATAGGTCTAACTTGACCTGAATGGGGGTGACAGAATGAGAACGAGGTGGAGAAGCAAATTGCAGAAAACGGAAAAAGATTCATTACTAAATAACAAAGATTACATGCAATGACTGGTGGGCATTTTGACATTTTTGCCAAAGCACCAAAAGAGAGGAACAAAAATTTAGTGAATAGAATTATCAGGAAAGACTTTTGGAGAGCTTGGATTAACCAGAGGAGAGGAACAAAGAGTGAAGTCACTTTTTTTGTTGCTTTACCAGCATTTGCAAGCTCATTTATGATCCTATGAATATAGGGTACTATTACACTGTGGGCATGTGTTCATATACACACACACATATATATATGTATATATCATTCTCAGCAATATCAGATGGCTGTGGTGGGGACTACTCCTTCTGCCCATCCTGACCCGCTGGCCTTTATTCTATCTGTCTCTAAAAAAAAAAGTTTATGATGTCTGAAGAAAATTGGGTCGCATGATTGATATGCGTTGGATATATTTAGTTGTATGGCACAATATCTTTCGCAATATGTACTGAATTGTTCTCTTTGTTGCGCTCTTCCTGACAGGTTTTAAAAATCGCAGCTGATGAAATCTAGTAATAATCATTTTTTCTCGAGCATGTTTTCAATTTCATGTGTATCCACATCTTCCTCAGAGTATATAGAGAATATTTATTTCGAATTTTCGTCAGATATCAAGAATAAGTGGAAAAAAAAAACAAGCACGACATGTATGAAAGCCGTTGATTTCTAGCTGCATATATATATACATAAGCTGTTTGAAAATCTTCGATATATAAATATGCATGCACTAACTTGATGTTAACATGCTGCAATAATAATTAATGGTGAAAAAATTGGCGACGCAGGAAATTAAAGAGAAAAACAAAAACAGGGAGAGGAAAATTAAAGGCTTCCAAAATACAGCTCGTCATCAGATATTGCATTCGGTGAGTTAATTAACCAGGAACTGGCGATCGAGGTTTTCACTTTGATATCTACTGTTCAATTATGATAATTAAGCTTACTTTACATAGCCAAATTAAAATTCATGACATACCATGTATAAATATATATAGACCGGTACGTGAAATTCCTCAGGGAGCACTTGTAAATATGACAGAAATAAATGTGGAGAGAGCATCGATGGATGAGCAGCGGGGAAGTATGAGCATGTGGTCGAAAAGAACCTATTATTAGCTTCTAGCTTAGCGTTTATGATGGCAGCTACATCAGATATTCAAACATTGGGCTCACTCACTCGTGAGGGCAAGTAATTGAGGAGGAGTGAGATATATATATATATGATATATACATTTTTTATATATATGCACCCCCACTTACACACACAAAAGAAAAGAAAAGAGACTTTTGTTTTTGCATCAGTGCGCAATGTTGTTACTTGCTTTTCACCTTTCATTTTCTGCTTTTTAAATTCAGGTAAACATCTAAGGATAGGATCCTTCTCGGAAGCTGGTGAAAGTGCTCTTTTCGAAAGCAAAACTTTACTCCCTCTTGTAATTTTTCGTTGCTGTATTTCTCGAACTATATGATGGCCATATAGATATATAGATATTATTTACTTAGGTATGGGCCCCTCTGTTCATCATACTCAAGACTAGTCCCCACTGCAGCATACATATTCATCCCAAAGCACACGACAGTTCATTAACCATTCAAAATTTTGATACCCAAATCTCCACTTAATCATTAGTTTCCTTTGGTTAAGAATACTCTCCAACGTACTAAAAAAGTTAGCGCCACCCGCCACATGATGAAGGGATTAATCTGATTTATTTGATTATTAACCAACATGAATTAAAGGAATTAGCTTCATTATTGATATCATGTTTAAAATGGTTAATATAGAAGATAGAAAAAAAAGATGATTACAAATATTACGTAGAAACTGGTAAATTTAAGCCCAATCACATATAAACTAATAATGACTTGTATATTTTTAAAATTTACACAGTTTATCGTCTCCATTTTAAAGATTCGAGACGAAGCATTTCTTTGTACGTACATAAAAACGAGGAGTCCGACGACTCATTGTGTGGAATCGCGACTGTTAATACTTTATTAATATTATATGAATCATTAACTGTGAAAGGTGGATGAATGTGTGGAGTGTGAAACAAACAAACAAGACACAACCCATCACAATCTTAATCACCTCAAGATTTCTGGTATTGTCATGTCAACCCAAGCAGACAAGATTTTACAGCAACATGTCGCAGTTTTGATCCTCTTCTCAGTTCTCACACACTCCACTTTATCCACCTACTTTTTCCCCATGAATCACTCACAGAACTACTGTTTAAACACGCTTATTATTGTAGTATTTCTATATACGTATTCGTCTTTTTGTGAGTAATTAATAAATTGATCCGACCACATTAGTTACTGCTATGTATTGTTAATGATTACACAGTGGCAGTGCCAGCAGAGCGAGGTGAAACTGCATAAGATCTGTCTGTCAAAATGCATGATCGCT